TACCTTGCTTAGGTGGTCCCCACAATCACCAGATCTCAATCCAATTGAACATTTGTGGGATGAAGTTAAAAGAGCCATCAGGCAGCTGGTTCCACAACCATCAAATCTCACAGAACTGGACAGTGCTATTCATCAGGCATGGTGTCAGATTCCTCGCATCACCTTTCAACATCTCATGGAATCAATGCCAAGAAGAATTGCCGCAGTATTGAAGGCAAAAGGTGGCCCAACGAAGTACTGATGGGGTGGTCATAATAATCTGGCCACTCACGTTCAAATATATCTCACGTTCAAAGGCTGTTAAATCGCGTTGTTTACCCATATCTTCAGAAAAAAATCACTTCTACTGTCATGGTAAACAACCTGCTTCCCTAGTTATAATGATCTGGCCCTCTAGCAACTTCAGCGTGAAATTATAGCTAATTTGCCTACAAACATCATGTGGTCATAATAATCTGGCAACTCAGTGTACATGTATATATTTTAGAAATTAACCCCTTATTAGATGTATCATTGGCAAATATGTTCTCCCATACAGTGTGTTCCCTTCCCATTTTGATGATGGTTTCTTTTGCTGTGCAGGAGTTTTTTAGCTTATTAAAATACTAATGGCATATTTCACAGATCTAGAATAAATAAATATTCCAAAAGTTTATATGGAACCAAAAAAGTGCCCATATAGCCTCAGCAATCTTGAGAAAGAAGAACAAAGTTAGAGGGATCACAATACCAGATATCAAACTATACTACAAAGCCTTTGTAATCAAAACAGCCTAGTACTGGCACAAGAACAGATATATAGATCAATGGAACAGAAGAGAGAACCCAGAAATCAACCCAAGCCATTACACTCAATTAATATTTGACAAAGGAGGCAAGAGCATACAATGGAGTAAAGACAGTCTCTTCAAAAAATGGTATTGGGAAATTGGACAGATACATGCAAAAAATGAAACTAGACCATGAACTTACACCTTACACAAGAATAAACTCAAAAAGGATAAAAGACTTAAATGTAAGTCACAAAACCATAAATATCCTAGAAAATATAGGCAGTAAAATTTCAAACATCTCATGTAGGAGAATTTTCACTTATACATCTTCTAGGGCAAAGAGAAACAAGAAAAATAAACAAATAGGACTATATCAAAATATGGAAGGTTTCTTTTTAAACAAACATACCAGAGCTCACCTAACATAGTAACTCTCCTTCAAAGAAGTCACCCCACAAGGCAGCACTCTCATTGCAATTAAACTATGATTGCTTGAAAATACATCAGTGAACTCCTCTTTTAAAACTGTCTCCAGAGACTGGTGTAAATCATTTTTTAATGTACTGTGTGCTGGAGAGCCTCCATGCTTCAAGGTGGGATATCTGGAGACAGCCTGTGCTGGTAAATTACAAACAGGATAATGTACTCGGCCTGGTTTGAGCAGAAACATGTATTAAATTATAACAGGGAATTCAGAGTCTCTAGCAGGGTCTGAGAGCCAGGAGTGGATATCATTCTTGTATCTGTTAAAAAATGTCCATGTTCCTTGCCTGTTTTCCTATCAGGTTTTATATCTTTGTTTCTATCAATTTTTTAATTGTTGACAATATTATAGATGTCCCCCATATTCCCTCTTTTTGTCCCCCTCGCCCCACTGAAATCTATTATTCTGTTCCATGCATCCATGCCCCTGGACCTATTTTGTTTGTCATTTTATTATGTTCATTAGATTCCACACATAGGTGAGATCATGTGATATTTCGCTTTCTTTGACTGGCTTATTTTACTTAGCATAATAGTCTCCAGGTCTATCCATGCTGTCACAAGGGTAAGAGCTCCTTTTTTGTTTGTTTGTTTGTTTGTTTCTGTCAATTTTTTAGAGTTCTTTAGATATTTGGGATATTAGCCCTTTATCTGTGTTTTATTTTTAAATTTTCTCTCCCAGTTTGTCATTGCCTTTGACTTCATTCTTAGCGTTTGTTTTTTTTTTAACCTTGAAGAAGTTGTTTTTATTTTTATGTAAAGTTAAATGTATTGATGTCTTTTTATATTGCATCTGAATTTTGGGTTGTGGTTAGAAACCTTTCCTTACACCCAGATTATAAATACATTAACCCATGTTTTCTTCTATTATATATATGGGTTCATTTTTTCATATTTAGACCCCTGATCCATTTGAAGTTTACTCTTATGTAGAGTATGAGGTATTTGCCTTTGAAACTGTTTTATTAAATGTATTAATTAAACCAGGGAATGCAAATTAAAATGCTTTAAAGAGCCAGACAAAGAGTAAATGAGAGAAACTAGATGGCAGAATAAAATAGGGAGTATTGAGGTCTGTGGCCAACCATAGATTAAATTTGGTAGGTGTATTAGTTTCCTAGGGCTGCTGTAACAAAGTTCTGCGAACTTGGTGGCTTAAAACAACAGAAATTTATTTTTTTCAGTTCTGGAGGCTAGACGTTTGAAGTCAAGGTGTCTCAGAACTCTGATGGAGAATCTGCCCCAAGCCTCTCTCCCAGCTCGTGGTGATGGCTTCCTAGCTCCATCACTCCCACCTGTGCCTTCATCGTCACGCAGCCTTCTTTGTGTGTGTCTGCACCCAAAACTTCCTCTTCGCATAAGGACATCAGTCATTAGATTTAGAGCCCACCCTAATTCGGTTTGCCTTCATTTAACTTTGCAGATTACATCTGCGAAGATCCCGTTTCTAAATAAGGTCACGTTCATAGGTTCCAGGGGGACACTATTGACCCAGAAGAGTGAGGGGAAAGCAGAATTGTCTGGAGCCCCTGTGGCCGCACTCTGAGAGTTTGGGGACCCTTTGTAGATATCTTACGTTGCTGTCAGAATCATCTCTGCTTAGTGATGAAGAAACTGCTGTGTTGGGAAACTGAAACTTCATTCTGAGAATCGGTTTTGAAAAGCATTGACAGCTTGTCCACACAAAAAGGAAGAGGAAATCCAATGGTCAACTCTTCTAAGTCTGAACTAACGGATGGCTTGTCCCGCAGCCGTGCAGAAGACAGGCTTGTTCAGTATGAATATTTGGGTTTCCCATGGGAAGCCAGGCCCTGTTATGTATTTTCTGTGACTGTAAAGTGTGAGTTCCTTCAAATTCCTCTGTGCCAAAAGAGGGCCCAGGAAGGAGGAAGATGGTGCCTTCCCTGGCCAGTGGCAGAAAGGAACTCTGAGATGCTGGAAGGGTCAGAAGGACATGACATGCCGTTGCTGCTTTGAAGACAGACGGGGCCATGTGAGAAGGAATGTGGGAGCAGAGAGTGGCCCCGGCCTACAGCCAGCATGAACCTTAGACCTACAGCCTCAAAAAAATAGATTCTGCCACAACCTGAATGAGCCTGGAGGCAGATTCTCCAAGAGTCCAGCCGGGTGACACCGTTGTTTTCACCTGTGAGACCTGAGCAGAGAACCCAGTGAAGCCTGTTCAGATTTCTGCCTGTAGATTGTCAGATGATACATGGGGGTTGTTTTAAGCCACTAGGTTTGTGCTAACTTGTTATGCAGCAGTAGAAATTAACACACCTCTGCTCTTGGTGAATTTCTAGGAGTGGAGACACTAGATGGGGGAGAAACGGAGATTTGGCATTGGGCAATTTCTTTCTTCTGTTGCACCTCCATCCATATATTCATCCATTCCGTTTATAAGAACTTCTATTCCCTGTGCAAGATATTAAAATCAACCAGTGTGGGGTGTTCTCAGTGGCTTCAGAGATTGATAGGAATCAGACATACATGCCCTCTTCTTCTGGATAACTAGTAGTGAAGACCAGGGAGCCAGGTGTATCTAACCACATTTTATCCTGGCGTCTTATAAGTTCCCAGGGCTAGAAGTAATCTTGGTAAAGTCTTTTAACACAATTCCCCCTTTGGGGTAATGTCCCAGATAATTGCATTCCCTCACCCCCAAAAAGAAGCAAACAGCAAAGGCTTTCATACATCACAGACCTGGGTGCACCTAGTAAGTTACTGTCCACCTCCCAGTAGCTCTACCTCATAATGTCGAAGATGAGAGGTGTGAAAACTGGCTTGTGGCAGGTACTCAATAATGTTAGAAGTTGGGCTTATGATCCTCAGGTGTAACACTTATTGCACACCCCTCCCTGATAACATGTTGTTAAGCCGCATGACCCAGAGCAGGGATCCTGAGCAGTGTCCTCACACCATCACAAAGCTGAGGACTAGAGAAGGGACTTGCAGCTTTGGCTGCATATAAGCATCATCAGGGGATGGCTAACCACGGCCGTGCTGGCCCCGTGAGGAGCTGGCCCACTGCCTAGAAAGACAACCCATGGAACCCTGAGCATCGAGGGAGCACGTGGACGGCGCAGGCCAGGTTTCAGGTGGGAGGAGGGTGTGGTGCTGAGCAGGTCAGTGTAGGGTTTGAAAACCATTTTGTCTTTTGCATGATTTGAGACTCTTGTGTTGAGGAGGGGGTGTGAGGACGGAGGGGAATGCGAAAGCCCCCACTCAGGCAAGGGTGACCCAAGGCCACAAGAATGGGTGGGAGTCGGGGGGCTGGTGTTTGATCATGGAGGAAGATCATGGGCAGACCTGGCCCTTTACCTTCCCTGTCTCTGTTGTGGGTTGAGTTGTGTCCCCCAAAAAATATGTGTTGAAGTCCTAACTCCTGCTCCCTGTGAATGTGGCCTCATTTGGAAACAGGGTCTCTGCAGATAAAATCAGGTTGAGATAATGTCATTAGGGTGGGCCTCATCCAATAGGACTTGTGTCCTAAAAAGAGACACAGGAAGGAGGCCTTGTGAGGACAGAGACAGAGACTGGAGGGATGCAGCCACAAGCCAAGGGACACCTGGGGCCCCCAGAAGCTGGAAAGGCAGGAAGGGTCCTCCCCTAGAGCCTTCAGAGAGGCAGCCTGCCAGCGCCTTGACGTCAGACTTCTGGCCACCAGAGCTGTGAGAGATCTTTGTTGTTCTACCCTTCCCCCCCCCCCCCCGCCCCGTTTGTGGTGCTTTGATAGTGCAGACTCAGGACACTGATCCAGTCTTCGAGGCAAGGGCCTGGAACGTGCAACACTGCTGATGAACTACCCGAAAGCCATTCCCAACTGTTCTCTCACTGTCTCAGACGACAAAGGTTGGAAAACAAAAATTTTACATGCCCACTTCCCTTGCATTCAGGAGTGACCGCGCAATCCAGTTCTGGTCAATAAGACCCAAGTCAGTCTGCCCAGGGGTAGCTGAAAATGTCTGCTTCTCTAACAAAGGGGAATGTGTCAGGCACACCTGCTCCCTCCACATCAGAGCCCCTGTGATCACGGCATGGCCCCAGCATTAGGGGTCCTGGCTGCTGTCTTATTACCTCGCCGTGGCAAGCACGGAGACTCGCCCAGACTCTGTGCCTGGCATCATTCAGCTGCTCAGCCACACTATGGCATGAGAAAAATAAACTCATGTTTGTTTAAATTAGGGGGTTCTCTTCTACCTGCGGCTGAACACTTTTCTAGCTGATATCATGCTCCGCCAATAGGAGCCTTTTCAGACCCTTCTTCCCTCTGGTGGACCAGAGAGGGTGAAGGTGGGAGCTCTGGGGGGAGGAGTAAACAGATTCTAATTCCGACTCTCACCCCTTCCCTCAGTGCCCCCAAACTATCTACTTTACAAGATGGCAGGAGAATAGGTAGGGGTCCTACGAAAAGCTCAGTACTAAAAACAGTCAGGGTCAGGGTCAGAGCTGTCTCATCTTGCCTGGACTTTGGACAAGGTCACCAAATGGGTACCCCTTTCTTTAGTGTGTGTGTGTGTGTGTGTGTGTGTGTGTCTATATCACAGACACCATCCTCCTCCCCAGCTCAGCTCAAGCCATTCCTGACTCAGAGAACATTAATGGCAATAGGTCATCACGGTTGCTGCCATTTATCGAGTGGGTTCTGTGCGTGGGGCACAGAGCAGTAAATCCCTTGCCAAAGAACAGACAGCTAGTAAGTGACAGAGCTAGGCCTTGAGGCTGGCAGCTCACCATGCCTCCTGCCAAGTCTGAGCTAAGGGTTTTGGCACTGACAGCAGGAAGGGCAGAAATGCCAAGGGACAAAGCACTTTCATGTCTCATTTAACCCTTGTGGCATGCTTTGAAATCAATGGATCATTATCTTCACCTGGCAAAAAAAAGTGGTCAGGCCTGGGGGGAGGAGAGTAGACACTGCAGAGCTTGGACTAGAACAAAGGTTTCCTGATCCAAAATCCTGCTCCCTCTAGAATGGCTGAAGATTGAGGCTGGGTTAGGATTGCAACTCATGGGTGAGAAGGGACACTGTAGAGCAGTGGTTCTCAACCTTGGCTGCACATTAGAATCACCTGGGAATCGTTTTAAAATCCTGATTTCTGGGCCTCATCCTCTGGAAATTCTGTTTCTTTGTTACGGGGTGGGGCCACAACATTAGTAACAAAGAAACAGAATTTCCGGAGGATGAGGCCCAGAGATCAGGATTTTAAAAAGGTTCCCAGGTGATTCTAATGCGCAGCCAAGGTTGAGAACCACTGCTGTAGAGCGAGTTTCTTCAACACAGTGCAGGTGACCCTGATGTCAAGCGCTAACAACACCTGTGGAGACCTACGTAGCAGCGGCATCTCACTCGGTTCTCCTTTGACAGATGATGAGACTGAGGCTCAGAGAGGCCCCTTGTCCTGTGTAGAAAGCCAGTGAGGACAGACCCGTGTCTTCTCCACTATGCGACCCTGTCACATTGGGGGTTTCCTGACCACACAGAGGCCTTTGCCCTCACGTGTTAACCACAGCAGCTTTAATATATACATACCAGTATGTATGTTTGTATGCTTTTATATGTATTTGGCTTATGATTTTGTTTGAAGTGTGGTTTCTGTGGCTGACAATTTTTTAAATCACTGATTAATGTGTCACGTGTGATTCTTTCATATATCTGATTCTTGGCACTGAGACTTACTTTCTTTTACGCAGGAATAGCATTCCACGAGGACATCTGTACAGAACGATCAGAACCATCCCAGGCTGTACAACACTCTGAGGCCATACTGCATGTCCCAGTGGAAGGTCAGTCCTGTTGATACACATATACTAGTACCAATGACTTAAATTATTTTTATTTTTAATTCTCACCCAAGGACATGTTTATTGATTTTAGAGAGAGAAGAAGGGAGAGGGAGAGAGAGAGAGAGAAACATCTATTGGTTGCCTCCTGTATGCACCCCAACGAGGTTTGAACCCACAACCCAGGTATGTGCCTTGACCCAGAGTTGGACCCACCACCCTTTGGTGCACAGGACAGCGCTCCAATCAACTGAGCCATATCAGCCAGGGCTCAGTTGCTTCTAAGCTCCTTGAAAGAAGGGACCAGGTTTAGTACTTTTTTTTGTCACTTTGGGTTTTTAGCTCTATATGGGTGCCTTATACACAGTAGGCACTTATCAAATGTTTGCTGATGGTTGTTCCTTCAGCAAAGTTTTTTGCAATGCATCTCCCAAACAAACATGTTCTTCTGTAAAGATTATGGTACTGTGTCAATTTCTCCAGTTAGTGGGAAATCTTTCCTATCAGTTATTATTTGTCATGTATAATTATGGTCCTACCCAAATGCTTGGAAAGTAGGATTTTTTTCAAAATCTTGTTAATATTTCCTTGTAACATAGCATTAATCCCAGAATAGGAAAGACTTGAGCCAGAAGAGAATTTAACAGTCAGATGAGTAATTTCTTAATCAGCAGATGAAGGAACTGAAGTTCACAGAGGTAAAGGGCTATCAGGGGCCACCCAGTCAATCCACTTGTCAGTCTGCTTTGGGAGATGATTTCTGGTGCAGAAAATTGATGATTCACACATTTTCAGGTTTTTTTTATCATCTCTATGTTTGACCTAATTTTTCTGTATTACAAATATGATAACATTTCGCAACATCACATTCTATTCACTGTCAATCCATGCATGCTTCTGTCATTAGACATGGCTATCCATGTGGCCTGTTAACTAAACAGCTCTCAGAACGCAGGGACCATGTTTGCTCATGGTGACTAGGATGTGTAAGGTGATCAATACAGATTTGTTGAATGAATGAAAGTTGGCCTGAAACACAGTGTATGACTTTCTCATCACTCCAGTGTTCCACTTAGCATATATACTAGTGATAAAATGAATTCGTGCATTGGGACTTACAAACTGGAGGCTGTCCACCTCTGTGGCATGGCCATGTCACAAATCTAAACCTTAGTCAGCCTGCACTTATGGACACAGATGTCAATCACAGTCCCCCAACTCAGCTTTAGCTAGCTTAACTTAGAAAGTAGGACCTGCTGGCCTTCTCAACAAATCCCCGACTTCCTGGCCAATCGTGCCCTGTTTCCACATTGCCTTGTCTAACATTCTATAAAACTCGCTCTTTCTCAAAAGCCCGTGGGAAGAGGGTCCCACTGCTGGTGAGGCACTGTTTGTCCCCAACTCATGGATTGTTTTTCCGTGAATCAATGACATCAAACTTACTACTAAATTGTTTTAGCTTTGTCATTTGACACTAGATTATTCGGTTTAGTTGCGATGGGATTTTAGTGAGAAATATCTTTGGCTGCACTAAACAATGGCATTAAACATATAGGGGTTACTTTTCTCACATGACAAGAAATCCAAAGATGAGCAGTGCCCGTGCTGCTCCATTAGTGAAGCTCCGTGATAGCAGGGACAGCATCCTTGGTTCTTTTGGACTTTTCTTATGGTAGCAATATGGCTGCCACATTGCTACAGCTGTAGGCATTACATCCTGTAGTCAATACAAGAAAAAAGAAGGAAGGGAGAAAACCTATAGATGTTTCTTATATGACCTTTAGATATTTCTTATAAGACAAAAAGCAAACGCTCTCCCGTAGATTTCTACTTAAATCTTATTTGCCAATATTGTGTCTGTGGCCACCCATGCCGCAAAGGAGATGAGGAAAGAAAGTGGCCAGGATCTGACCAAAGGCTTGGTGACTGGGCTTCCTCACTTGCACCCTTGCCATCGCCCTTCGAGAAGCAGGCCCAGACTAGCCCGCTGTTCCTGAGAAGAGAATGAGAGACAAGTGAAGAGGAGACATCCCAGTTGAGCCCAGCCTGGGTCAGCCAGCCTCCATCAGACCCCCAGATGGGTGAGTCCAGAGCTGCCCTATTGATCAGCTGACCCTCAACTTCCTGCAAATGTTTGAAAACTAATGTTTGTACAAAAACTCATATAATTTAACACCAAGGCAAACCAATTAAAAAATGGTTAGAGAACCTGAACAGACATTTCTTCAAAGAGGATATATATATGGTCAATAGACATATGAAAAAATGCTCACTGTCACTAATCATCAGATAAATGCACACTAAAACCACAATGAGCCCTGGACAGGGCGGGGGGAGGTTAGGTTGGTTGGAGTGTTGTCCTGTACACCAAAAGGCTGCAGGTTCGATTCCCAGTCAGGACACATACCTAGATTGTAGGTTTGATCCCCAGTCAGAGTGCGTACAGGAGGCAACTGATCAATGTTTCTCTCTCACATAGATGTTTCTATCTCTCTATTTCTCCCTTCCTCTCTCTCTAAAAAAATCAATAAAAACATATCCTCTGGTGAGGATTTAAAAAAACAACAACAACAACCACAACGAGATATCACTTCACACCTGTCAGAATGGCTATCATCAATAAATTAACAAACAACAAGTGCTGGCAAGGATGTGGAGAAAAGGGAACCCTGGTGCATTGTGCTGGTAATGCAGATTGGTGCAGCCACTATGGAAAACAGTATGGAGTTTCTTCGAAAAATTAAAAATGGAACTAACTTATGACCAAGCAAATCCACTTCTGGGTATTTATCCAAAGAAACCCAAAACTCTAATTCAAAAAGATGTATGCACCCCTATGTTCAGTGCAGTATTACTTACAATAGCCAAGATATGGAAGTAACCTAAGTGCCCATCAATAGATGCTTGGAAAAAGACATAGGTATAAAATAGAATATATTAGCCATAAAAAGAGTGAAATCTAACCATTTGGGACAACATGGATGGACCCACAGGCTATTATGCTAAGTGAAATAAGTCACACAGAGAAAGAAAAATACCACATGATTTCACTTACCTGTGGAGTCTAAAGAACAAAATAAATGAACAAACAAAACAGACAGACTCATAGATACAGGAAAAAACTGAGGGTTGCTAGATGGGAGGAGGGTTGGGGGGCAGGTGAAAAAGGTGAGGGGATTAAGAAGTATCAACTGGTGGTCAAAATAGTCACAAGGTTGTAAATACAGCATGGGAAACACAGTCAACAATCTGTAATAATAAAAGCATAATACGCTAATTAGACTAGATGTCCTTCCAGACGAAGCTTGGGCTGTGAGGGAAGCCCAGGTCCTGGGTGCCAGAGGGAAGCCAATGCTGGCAGCTGGGGGAAGGAAGGCCTACTCTTACACGAATTTCGTGCATTGGGCCTCTAATATTGTAATAATTATGGATGGTGCCAGGTGGGTACTGGACTTACCAGGGTGGTCACAGTTTAAGTTACATAAATGTCTAATCACTATATTGTATACCTGAAACTAATATAATATTGTATGTTGACTAATTGAAAACTAAAAAAGAGGGGAAAAAAACCTCTTGAATCTGCATATTGAAAGATCACAACTTGTCTCAGAAAAATTAACAATAAAACAAAAACAAAACTGCACTAATACAAAAAAGAAAACCAATTATTGTAATTTTTAAAATACACATTTTTACAACAGCTTTATTGAGATATAATCCACATACCCTATAGTTTACCCATTTAAAGTATACAATTCAATAGTGTTTGGTGAATTTAGAACATTTTCATCATCCAAAAAAGAAGCCCTATAGCCATCACCATCACTCCCCATTTCTCCCCAACAACCCCAGCCCTAGGCAACCGTTTACCTATTCCCATCTCTATGGATTTGTCTATTCTGGATTTCATATAGATTGAATCATACATTGTGTGGTCTTTTGTCACTGACTTCTTTAACTTAGTACAGTGGGGCCTTGACTTACGAGTTTATTTCGTTCCGAGACCGAGCTCGTTAAGGAGCTCGTTAAGGAGCTCGTTAACTCAAATTACTCTATCAACTCAATGCAAAAAATCGGCTGAGAGACAGCTGGTATCTCACAAAACTGGTTAGTCGGGACACTCGTAAGTCAAGGCCCCACTGTATAATGTTTTCAAGGTTCATCCATGTTGTAGCATATGTCAGTATTTCATTTATTTATTTTTGTCCCCCGTGCCAGTTTATTGATGTATAATTGACAAAAGTATATACTAGTATACTTAAGGCATATAACCTGAGGATTTGATATACGGATACATTGTGAAGTGATTATCACAGTCAAGCTAATTAACACTCTCATTACCTCACACAGTTACCCTTTTTTATATCCCTTTAGCACATGTCAGGTCTACAATACAGTATTAACTCTAGTCACCATACTGGGCATTAGATCCCCAGAATTTGTCCATCTTATAGTTGAAAGTTTGTACCCTTAATTGCCGCTTTGCGGTATTTTCTCACCTGTTGCTATGGCCATGATTACCTGATATAATTGGCAAAACTCATTGTTTACCCCTGGGTGAGTAGCAGAGCATTTATTAAGCAGGCACTGGGGTATGGCAAAGAGGTCCAAGACGTTGTCTCCCTCAGGGAGTTTATATCTCTAGCTGAGGAGAAGAAAGCCCTTAGGATCATGATGATTTGCTATTTTTGTTTCTCATATTATCACTTTGAACAGCAAAGAAAGCCACTGTGTGCCAAGCATTACAATAGGTGCTTTGTATATTTAATCCTTAACACAGCCTGGCATCAGGAAGGATGCTTTTGGCTGTGTGTACCAGAAAATCTAACCCAAAAGGGATTAAACAAAAAGGAAGTTCATTGTCAGGAAGTCCTCAGGTATTAAGGCCCCAGAGATAGTTAATGCATTGGCTTAAGGACACTGTTGAGGATCCAAGCTTTCTGCCTGTACCTTCTTTCCTCCTTTGTGTGTCAAACTTGACCTTAGTCTGGCTCTTCTCATGTTCACAAGTGGCTGCACTGTTCCAGGCATCACATCTAGCATCCAAAAAAAGAAGAAATATTATCTCTCTTTGTGTATCGATTTTAAGGGCAAAACCAAAAACGAAACCAAAACAAAGTCTTTCCCTGAAGCCCCTCAGCTCATTGACCAGATTGTGTCACATGCTCATACTTAAACTAACCACAGACGAGGAATAGAGTCATCATGATGGCCCTTGGATATGCCTTCTGGGGCTGGAGCCAGCCTCTTCTGAAGCCCATGGCTGTGCAGAGTGTGGAAACCATAATAAATTTAGGGTTCTGTTTCCAAATGAGGACACTGAGGCTCTGAGAGGTTATGTAACTTGCAGGAAGTCACATCTGGCATGCTGTTGTGCCAGGCTTCCAACCCAGATATGTCTGACCCCAAATGTCTCTCCACTAGACCACCCTGCTGCTTTACATGAGGTGGCAAGATGGGATGAGGAAGGACTTAAATTACATCATTATAGGTTGTTGTTACCCTTTAAGTATCATGAGCATTGTGGCCAGCATACTCTATTAGAGTCAACTTTTGATCATCATGCAGGTGCTCTGTAATCATTAATTTTACAGTGAGGCAGGTATAATGTAGCCTCGGATAACCACACAGGCTCATTCCAACATTGTCTGAAGGCCAAGTTGGCCAGGTTAATCACCTCCACATGTGGGAGCAGACTCGCAGCCTCCTGGTACACGTTTTTCCTTCTCGTCTGCCCTGTGGCTAGTTCTCTGAGAGTGAGCCGCCACACTAGGACGAGGGAAGGAACATCCTGGACCCAGTACTAACCATTGGCCATGGATAACTGTGGATTAGGCCAACCAGCAGCAACCTCATCCTCATCATTCACTTGGAACTCACACAGCACTGCACGTCACTAGCACGAACACAGGCCGTGTCATACCCAACTCTCCAGTTGATTGTGTGGCACCCTCTTCATTCTGTCTGGGTCATTCATGGTCAGTGACATTGGAAGCAAGAGGGAGCTGGGAAAACCCAGAGCTTTGGAAACCTGGGTTCTGTATTTCCCGGCTGGGTGGCCTTGGGTGTGCCACTTATTCTCTCTGAGCCTTGGTTTTCTTATCTGTGTAACAGGTGGTGTCTTACAGGGCTGCTGACCATGAACACTGATGTCTGATGTGTGGCTAGGCCCCCAAGAGCAGTGGCCATGAACGTCATTATGGTTGGGCTTGGGCCAATAACATTGGGATGAGCAGTCAAGGCTCCCGAGTGAAACTGCTGAGTTTATAAACTCTGGTGCCAACTTCTTACAGCACTTGGAATAGGGCCAAGGCGGATTCAAATGGAGTGAATTGATCTCCTCATAGCCACAGGACATCTTGGCATACTCTGAAACAAGAGCTTCAGTTTTCCTGTGTGTGCAGGCTTCAAAGTCTTGTGAGCTTCCTTGCTTTGTCCAGGGAAACTAGAAAAGAAACATTAAATGGATTTATGTTTCTGTATGGGTGGGTATATTAGCTTCCTCTGGCTGCTGTAACAAATTACCCCAAATTTAGTAGCTTAAGACAATACTAACTTAATATGTTATAGTTCTGGGAGTTGGAAGTCCGAAAGGAATCTTTCAAGTTAAGAAATCAAGGTGTCCGCAGGGCTGCATTCATTCGAGAGGCTCCAGAGGAGAATCCATTTCCTTGCCTGTTAAAGTTTTTAGAAGCCACTGGCATTCCTTGGCTGGTGGCCCCTTACTTCATCTTTAGAGTGCATCTCTCCAACCTCTGCTCCATCATCCTGTCCCCTTCTTCTCCGCTGACCTTTTCACCTCCCTCTTATCAAGAACCCTGTGATGACATTGGGACCTCCAGATAATCTCTCATCTCAAAACCCTTAACTTAATCATAGCTGCGAAGCCCCTTTGCCATATAAGGTGACATATTCACGGGTCATGGGATTAGGACGTGTGCAGCTTTGGGGCTATTATACGGCCTGCTGCAGAGCGTAGAAAGCAAACCTGTGGTGGAGGGGATGCAGTGTGCATCAAATGTCCCATGTGCTTGACGCTCCAGTCAGCAATCATACTCCTGGGGAGTGAGACAACCTGCAGAGGACCAGGAAGGGATTCTAGATTATTTCTGAAGAGTAAGAGAGAGATTTGGCTTTACTAATACTGGCTCTGGATTGACACTGGCTCTCTGTGTCCTTGAGAGCCCACACAGGTGGACAGACCCCACTGGCTAGTTTGGCAGACAGTAGTTAATGCAGTAATCACCCTTTTCTGAGGTTTTGCTTTTCGCAGTTTCAGTGGCCCATAGTCAACTGCAAGCCAAAAATATTAAATGGAAAATTCCAGAAATAATTAAATTGTGCGCCATTTTGAGTAGCGTGATGAGAACTTGTGCCGTCCAGCCCAGGACATAACTTATTCCTTTGTCCGGCGCTGCCATGCTTAGACACTCCCTGCCTTATAGTCACTTTGCAGCCATCTCGATGATCAGAATGACTGCTGTGGGGTTGCAGTGCTTGTGTTCGGGTAACCTTTATTTTCCTTAATAATGGCCCCCAAGTGCAGGAGAAGTGATTGTAGTCATTCAGATATGCCAGAGAGAAGCCATAGAGTGCTTCCTTTTAGTGAAAAGGTATATAATGTGCAGGAAAAAACATAGTACATATAGGGTTCAGAGTATCTGCAATTTCAGGCATCCATTGGGTATCTTGGAACATACCCCCTATGGATAAGGGAGGACTACCCTACAGGGCGTTGGTTGACCATATGTAGTAGGACTGAAAGGCAAAAAGGAACCTGAGGTAACACTGAGGGGGAGTAGGTGTGGCCCCTTGGGCTTGGTCATGCTGCCTGTGATCACTCCTCACCTATCTCCCAACATACCTCCTGTGGGAAGAGGGAGGCTTTCATAACAAAGTCCCATTGACCAGTTTGTTAGCTCTTAGGATATTGTACATAGGGTTGTGAAGTATTGGCTTAGGAAAATGGATTTGCAGGTTATATACCTATCTCATTGAGTCCTAACTAAATTAGACATGTGCCTTAACAGGATTCCTGCAAAGAAACTGTAGACTGAAGGAAATACTCTCCTAATAAATCAAGCACAAGTAAAGAGCAAGAAAATTACAGAGACAACCGTCTTATTTGTGGAACAGATTCTTTATCAGATCTATTCCAAAGTGAAAACAAAAAACAGTCATCCAATCAGACATCAAAGGAACACAGCCCCAAATTCCAAATGATCAAGAAGTCTATTGGTGCCAGAACCGGTTTGGCTCAGTGGATAGAGCGTCGGCCTGCGGACTCTAGGGTCCCAGGTTCGATTCCGGTCAAGGGCATGTACCTTGGTTGCGGGCACATCCCCAGTGGGGGGCGTGCAGGAGGCAGCTGATTGATGTTTCTGGCTCTCTATCCCTCTCCCTTCCTCTCTGTAAAAAATCAATAAAATATATATTAAAAAAAAAAAGAAGTCTATTGGAAACATGTATTCAAAAACCTATGAACATTTACAAAAATCCTCACCCCAAAGGCTTCTTTCTGCCTTGTATCAGTAATGATGGAAGCTGTCACAATTAGTAAGAGATTAAAAAAACAATGTTTAATCTTTTATTCAGCACTCTAAAAGTTTTATTTTGATTACTAGAGTCCTGGTGCATGAAATTCGTGCACTGGAGGGGCGGGGGGGCCTCAGCCCAGCCTGCACCCTCTCCAATCTGGGACCCCTCGGGGGATGTCTGACTGCCACATCCCTCTCACTATCTGGAACTGCTGGCTCCCAACCGCTTGCCTGCCTGCCTGCCAGCCTGATCACCCCTAAGCACTCCCCTGCCAGCCTGATCAATGCCTAACTGCCCCTCTGCCAGCCCGATTGCCCCCAACTGCCCTCCCCTGCTGGCCTGGTCTCCCCTAACTGCCCTCCCCTGCAGGCCTGGTCCCCCCAACTGCCCTCCCCTGATGGCCATCTTATGACGACATGGGGGGCGGCCATCTTGTGTGAGGGCGTGATGGTCAATTTGCATATTACCGCTTTATTATATAGGATGGACTTTTATTGTGCATAAAATATGAGAAGAGTAATGCATGTGTACAATTTATAAATTTTAAAATGCACATATAGCCCTGGCTGGATGGCTCAATTGGTTGGAGTGTCCCATCACCAAAAATGTTGCGGGTTCAATCCCTGGTTGGGTGCATACAGGAAGCAACTGATCCATGTTTCTCTCTCACATCGATGTTTCTCTCTCTCTCTCTCTAAAATCAATAAACATATCCTCGGGTAAGGATAAAAAATTTAAAAATAAAATAAAATACACAGACATTGTGGGTACATGCTGTAAAGTTTTTGTCTGGTGGAATTCATGATTAAAAATAAATACAAAAACCCTTGGGAGATTGCTGCCCTAAATAATTAATGTCCACTAGCTGTCAAAACAAAAACACCAAATTAAATGATTATATAAAACATTTTAGCTTTGTTTTATGTAATCAAGAACTACCTAGGGAGATGACTATAAGCAAATCATAAAGTTGTAGACATTTTTTTGTTGGTGCAGAGAAGCTCTTCTACAGCAAAGGTGTTTGGTAGAGTTTTAATTTTTTACAACTGGACAGAGGAGTCCCTTCCCCTCTCCATATCATCCTTACTTCTCAACAGAGTGAGGATTGGGTGGAAGGGAAAGAGGTTCTAACAGCCAGAATGTTGTGGGGACAGTTCTGGCTCCCCAGCCACACATAGATTTCTGGTCATAAGTGTACAATTCATCTACTGAGAAGAAACAGTTCTGGGTCATTCTCTCCTTCAAGGCTAGCACAGCAAGTGGAGACTCCTTCCCCTTCACCTGGAAACTGTACCTGGCTGCAGAGATGGAGGGTGGAGGTGAATGTGTTTGGACAGTTGCTGGGGATTCTTATCAAAGGCTTCAAGGAGAGCTTGACTGAGTTTATGCACAACATTCGCATGTAAATGCCTATGCCCATTTTTTTTTAAAAAAAAACAGGGTTTGTGCATTTCACCATATATTTTTTTTCTTTTTTTAATGCTCAATGGGGGATATTTTCCCCCAATTGTTTTTTAGAGAGAGTGGAAGGCAGGGAAGAAAGGAGGAGGGGGGAGAGAGAGAGGGGGGGGAGAGAGGAAGAGAGAGAGAGAAAAAGAAACATTGATGTGAAAAAGAGATATTGACTGGTTGCCTCCTATACTCGCCCCAACCTGGCTGGGGATGAAACCTGCAACCCAGGTACATGTCCTTGACTGGAATCAAACCCGGGAGCCTTCCGTGCATGGCCCATACTCTTACTACTGAGCAACACCACCCAGCGCCCTTTCCCCATATTCTTAAAGGAGTCTTTCTATATTGAAAAGACTTGGGAAAGCATCATCTGAGCTCAGGCTATGTTCCGGCTGTGAGACTGTCACTTCATCTCTCTGAGCCTCAGGGTTCTAGACCATGGGACAGTCCTGCCCCACCTTGGGTTGTTGTCATGAACACACAGAGTCCATGTCAGCATTTGCTGACTCCATCCTCCTCCCGGGGACTGCACAGGCCTCTCTGGGTTCCTGGTGACCAGTTTCCCCAGCAGCCTTTTTGTTTGTTTGGAATGGTTTCTTGGGGTCTCCTAGAGGAAGGATTCCCAGCTGAGTTCCAGAAAATCACACTCTCCCCCTCCTGTTTGGAGGGCTCCCAACTGCTCCCTTGGTCGCCCCGCTGAGAAGAAATGATGTTAGGAATGTTTATCTCTTGAGCAAGTGGCACAGCTCCTTTCAGCAGAACAAGAAGAAACCACAAAAGTGGGTGCAAGGTCTTGCCAAAGCATGGCGCTGCGGGAATATCCTTTTTCTTTGTCCTGCCTCAGCCCACAATGCCTTCGAGAAAGGCTGAGTCAACCGGCCTGGCAGTATCAGCTTTCTCAGCCCAATCGTGGTTATTTTATGTCACAAAACACAGTGGTGGCTCAGGACCCAAGAGACTGGGGTCCTCAACTCCAGATCTCAGCCTTTAGGTAGCAATGCCTCTGTGATCAGCATCTCCGCCTCCTTCCTGGCCAGCAAAGAGGTGGCATGGTCCTCAGATGCCCTCGCGCGTAAAGCAGCACTGGGTGAGTGTGGGTCTGTAACATGATGTGAAGGGCCTCTGTTCTGGAATCAGATTGACCCGGGTTTGAATCTCGGCTCCCCCACTTAATAGTTGTGTGACCTTGGGAAAATTACTCAGTCTTTCTGAGCCTCGGTTTTTTAATCTGCAAAATGGCAATAATAAGCATTTGTACCACAAACTGCAAGGGTAGTTGTGAGAGCCGAATGGGATCATCGTTATAAAGCGTTCAGCACCGGTCAGTGCTGACCCGTGGAAAGAGCGTAAGTGGAAGCTATTGTCATTTCAGTCATCTGATTATGAAATCAGAGAATTAGAAACTACAGAAAAATTCACAGGAAACCAGAAGCACTCATAACCCCAAGCCCTGGAGATACATACGGCTAGACTCTGGTTAGGTTTCCGTCCAGCTGTGTTTCTACGCGTGTGTATTTCATACTCGGCTCGTGGTTGAATGAGTACAGCTCACATATGTATACTAGTTCTTAATACCAGGCAGGATGTTTCTTAACCCAGTTTTTTTAAAACTTAAAAACATATCGAGAACATTTTCTCCAAATCCTTACATTTTACCATATTGCATATTTCCCCACACTTGGATGTTTCTGAAATTAGCATGCGTTTCAGGATCAGTGTCAAAAGAAACGTGCCAGCCGTTTCTTCTCTCTCTCCCCGCTGAAACAGGGAGTTATGAAATGCGTGAGACACGTAATGAATGATGATGTCTCCGATCGAAAGAAGCGTGGCATCTCATTCTGAAAGATGCTTCTTAAAAGGAACGTGTAGTATTCTTAGGTGCCGTCTCTATAAGTCCCTTAATTGACCTCTAATTTTGCGCATTTTAGCTCCTACCAGTTTTTCACTATTATTAACAGTGCTTTAAAAGAAAACATATGGCAGGAAGAACAATCAGGTGAGTCACTGACAAAGCAGGATGGAGGCTAGGGGGAGAGGTCAAGGTCACAGCTAGCCTGTGCTGACCTTGTTGGGAGGAAGGTAGGAGATAAGTACTTTGGCCAGTCTCTCCTTCCTCCCTACAATCTCATGCCAGGGCTCCCGTTGGCAAGGAAGGGGGATGTCGTGCAGAGCAGCCCTGGATGGGCAGAGGCAATGCCCAGCGCACCTGCCATTTTGAATGGTGAATCCAGCTTTAGGCTGGTTGCTTACTATGAGGGCTTCCACCCCCCAGGCAAGACAGAAGGTACTGAAGAACGGCCCTCGTCAGCGCCGGCACAGACCACTCGGGAGCCCACGTGCTCCGAGGCAAGAGAGCTTTCTCCTTTTCTGGAGTCGCGTCTCATGCCTACATTTTGGGTAAGATGCTATTTTTAAGTGCCTGGCACTGTGGATTTGTATACTTGAAGGGAGAAAGGAGACTCAACACGGAGCCAAGCTGGGTGGGCAGGGGGTGGGGGAGCTGCATTTGTGCTGCTGTAACAATGAGACCTCAGGCTGGTGGGCTGTCACACCCACAGCTGACATTAATCACATCCTGCCTCGCCTTCTCCAGCAGCTCTGACATTTGAGGCCGCGCCCCGCTTCTGGAAAGCTCCCACCCAGACTGTAAAGTTGCTTCTCTGCCGTACTTCCCATGTTGAGGTCCTCCCCAGCCTCGGATCTCTCCTGCCTGGCTCTGGAGACTGGGCGGCTCTTTGAGGCAGGACACAGGTGCCCTTCGGAAGGTTGGCAGCTCTGTAGGGTGGGCCAGAAGGGGCAGGGTGTGGTGCCCAGCCCAGTCGCTCTTTCAGCTGGGATTTGGGGGTTGAAAACAATGGAAATTGGCTTTTGCTGACCGTCTTGGAGCCGGAGGAGAGGGGCTACTGGAAAGAGATGAGTTGGTTTGCAGAATAGAAACAAAAAAGATGGGTAACAGATTACAGGACAGACGGGAGCACCACAGCCTTCTAGGATCTGGGAGGGAGGATTAACAAGCGGTGGAGGGTGGGGGCAGGGGTGAGGGGTTATGGAGTGGGTGCAGGGAAGGGTGGATGTGGCTGGGACTAATCTGCTCCATTTTACACATTGAGCAACTGAAAGCCAGACGGGGAGGGCACTTGCCCAGGGTCATGTGCTCATTGGAGCCACAGCCAGCCCGGATCTCAGACCTCTGACGTGGTGCAGTGGGCTGGGCCCAGGTCCTCAAAGAAATCCAAAGCCTCCAGGGTCCTCCGCAAGGGGAGGAGGCCCTTACAGGAGGATCATCTCAAGTGCTGCCCTTTCCCCTCCCAGATCCTGAACCCTCTGGCCACGTATTGCTTAC